CCAACGGGGTAGGTGTCATTATATGCATAATTGTCCCTATCCGCCCCGTTGTCATCTCTAATTACAATGGAAATTCTCAAATGTTCACCCTTGTCTTCCCGCACTAATCCAGAATTCCGCAGTGGAATATCCTCTCAGCATTTGTCTTCTTCCTGTACAAGACTATAAATGATACTCCCTCCGTCCCGCTAGAAGGTTCCCGTTGATGGTTTATGATGTTTGACTTACGATAAAACAACTCAATCCATGTACACACTCTGATTATTTTTAGTACATAAAATTTACATATTCAGAAACTACATTAAATCCGCTACAAAGTTTGATAAAAAAATGTAAATTTGATAAAAAATGACATATAAAGTAAAAGATTAAAAATGATTTAAGTTGACCATGTGAATAGTGGATGAGAACCTTCTAATGGGACGGAGGTAGTATAAGACATTTTAATACAATATAGATATATTTAGCTCAATAACGTGTTCAAACTTCTCGAGTTGAGTTTTGACTATAATGCGTGGACTCCAATTCCGATATAATGTGTGGACTCCAATTCTGAAACAAGCAATGAATGATAGAAATGGATCCACAATTTCTGAACATTGTACATCTAGATGACATGGAGTCGCTAAGAGCATCTCCAATGCTACAATGTGCACGGTGCACATGTGACATAAGAGAGATAGACACAAAAAATTGAATTTATGACATTTCTCTCTCATTCATTACACAATTTTATGTGTTTTAGGCAAGTTTTCCTCTGCAATGTCAACTACAATGTCTACATTTAGACATTGTGCTTGACATTGTGAAGAAAAACTTACCAAAATGATGTAAGATCCTTCAAATAAGGAGAGAGATATTCTATTTATTGTTATTTAATTGGTTATTTCTCATGCCACGTATGCACCGTTAACGTTTTAGCATTGGAGATGCTCTAATATAATGGATTTAATTGCCACATTCCTGTTCTTGTACACTAAAATGATTAATAATCGAGTGTCATAGGGGTGCACCATTGGCTCAATCTTTACAAAATTATAAATATGAATCATGGTAAGCCTATTTTAGGTATAAGAAATTTGTTGGTGTAACATTGGTGCTTTGTCGATGTGTACATGGAGCTTAAATAATTGTACTGGCTTCCCTCATTTCCCCATTACCAAACGTCTTCCGTTAACATTCTCCTTCTCCCCTAACTGCCGCTTCTCTCCCTTTTCATTCCATCGCATTCAACCCAGATTGGCTACGACTTTGTTTAGGGCTTGAGACCTCACTCCGTTCCGCTCATGCGCCGACGCTAATCTTCCTGGCCTGATGGCTGATAGAGCTCTCATGCCTATTTCTACCTTCCTGACCTGTTGACTGATGGAGCTCTCATGTCTACTCTAGGAGCAATCGCCAGATTGAATGATCCAGTGAGTTTTTCTTCTTTCATTCCACTTTATTCAACACATTAATTTCATTTGTGTTAAATTTACCATTTAATTTTGTTTAGATTTCATTTTGACATTTGCCGAAGAACGCTTCTCGATTCAGAAACGGTCGGCACGGGTATTTTCTTCTATCCCTTATTCTTCACTGTGTAAGAGCAATGGTTTTTCAATTCTTTGAATTTAATAGTTTGATTTCAGTGAATACGATTACTCTGCAGTTATCTTCATCTTTAAGTTCCCAACTTCCACTTGTGACTATTTAAAAATCACTGAAAACCATGATTTAAGGTTAATGACTTATTGTATTTAACCTGAAAACCTTGATTTAACCTCAAAAAAATATACATGTTCTTTTCTTAAGAAAATATGCACTAATTGTAACTATTTTAAAAAATGTCTCCTGAGAAAATTTCTCAATATACACTTATTTTTTTAGGAGAAAAAAATATAGATTGAAAATCATTTTATTTCCTTGAGGTTGTTACATGTTTCTCCAGTGATTATTTCTATTTGTTTGCATTCAGATATCAATCCTGATTGTGTGTGAATATTGCATCTTGATTTATTTATCATTGATTCTATATTTTATGTTAAGTATAAGTATGTGCAAATAAGAATATATAATATACATTAGTAATTCTTTACCAAATTTATTAAAAACTAATGCTTTATTAAAATATTATGAAAAGGCTGAGACATATTTTCTCGATGACCATTTTCTACAAAGGTTCATTTTAGTTGAGCTGGACATTGGAAAGGACACAAGGGTTCGCAGCTAAGGGCTATTATCTACTCCTATTCTTGCGTGCAACACAAGTGATGGAAATCCAAGAGGTGCTCTCACCTTGAATTCTTCCCCTTGTGCCCTTAGAGATATATATTGTTCGGTCAACAAACTTTCTTTGGGGCTACTGACCAGTCTTCTTCAGTAGTTCTTAGCCAAGTTTACAGATTTATTCGAAAATGAAAAGCTAAATGAAGGGCAGGATAGCACTAATTTATTAAAATGAAAAACTAGACAACCAGTTAGGTAGTTTGATTGTTAGGTTCTTTGGTTGAATCCCAATTAAGTACATGTAGACATATCTTCTTCTTTTGTTTTTTTATTATTTAAAAATGATTTCTTACAGTAGTTCTCCAAATTACTTTTAGTCTTTTACTATGGCAATAATGTATTTCAAAGATGTACATCTATTTGAAAGCATATTTCTTGGATGTTTGTAGTTGTAGTTTATTACGTGAAGGTACTTTGTAATCGTTTCTACTTCTACACCGATGCATTGGGTAGAACAGAGGCAATAAAGTTTTTTTTTTATGTCAATGGCAATGCTTGAGTTGAATTTTACTCTTCTTATCTCTTTACTGCAAGACCGTTTATCACTTTATTGTAATTAATTACCTGTTCAATTTTTTATACGTTTGCCATAGATTCACTCATATGCAACATTTGGGCAGCAAGTGATCCAAATATGGAGGTATTAGTACTTGCCATTTCTTGATATGTGGAATTAGATGTCACGCCTATTATGTATTTTGCGCTCTATATTGCAGACCCCACTCGAAGTATGAATTTTTTTGTCCTTTTAATCATTTGGTGGTTGTCATTTATGAGTGCTAGAGGTGTGTTTTTATGTAGCCTTTCAATTCACACCTTAAAAATGTGAATAATTATGATTTTGTAGTTATGCTTGCGACCTGCATGCACATTGGGGGGCCATCCGCGGACTGTGTCTATCAATCCAAGCAAATTGATGATCCAGAACATACAACAACTTTATTGAGTGGCGGATTTGGAGTAAAAAACAATCATAAATAGGCTTTGAGAAACCTTTCGGGCAGAAAATATAGGCATATATAAGCTTAAATGTAGCTGTCTGTTTGAGGTATCTTTGAGCCTAATTATGTCCTTAAGGGATGCAAATAGAACTCTAAGTTTGAAAGTAGTAATATTATTTCAGATGATAGCTCAATGCTACCTGAAAAGAGTGACGAAATCGGTAGTCCTATTATGAACTCAACTTGATGTTTTACTCTTCTAGGCTTTTTATAAGCAAAATTGTGATACCACTAGAGCTTCGCATTTTACTTCTTCAACCTCTTTGTATAGATGTTTGAACTTCTTACTCTTATTCTAAACTTATCTGAACCATTCCCCATTATATACGGACTGCTTGTCATTTTCACAATTTTGCTTGCATCAAAATTATATTTGGTCATCAATATCAAGTTACAATTCCTGGAATATAGAAAAGGAAGAATTAGCTCTATTAGAAAGAGGAATTTGTAGAATGAAATAGATGAACAACTAACATCTAAATGAATGGAAAATTAAATCTAAACTTTGATGTCATTTGTATATAAAAATTTATTGATATACGTATGTTAGTGAACTGTTTGAGGCATGTCATTATATGATTTAGTCCGAATTGTTTGTCTTACGAGTAAATCATCCTTTAATGTTATAGAAAGTGGTAATTCTATTAGTCAATTTATTTGAATTTATATAAACTTCAGATCAATATGATAGTCCAAATGTTGGTTTTATTCTCTTTAGTGGAAAAGCTTACTGTATTTGTCTCTTTATTTTCAGTTTTCCCTATGCTATGACCAATAATAACTTGTTAAGATTCTTTGTGAGATAAAAAGGTTCCTCTTTTCATGTTTTTGAAGCATACAAAATTACAAATGGCATGACTTAACTAATTTTGTAGACATATTTGGATCTAACTCATTTTCATGGGCATATAAAATGTCAAATATGAATATGAATATGAATGACATTTGTGCCTCAAGAGTAATGTCACCAACCGATTTTGTGACTCACCATTAAATTTATCTTTACAAAATTATAATCATGAATCAAGGTTAGGCTATTTTGGGTATAAATGATTTGTTGGTGTCCACAGCTTTGTATAGTTGTATTGAATGGTTGAGTTCTTATACTGAGATGTTTCCTTCAATTATCCATCAAGAGGTATGTATTCCTCCCGTCTAGCTCCATTAACATGACCTTCCCCTCGCCCGGCCTCTGCGATTTCCTCTTCGTTCCAGGCTTCCAGCACACCAAACCGAGCAGCCTGGCTGCTAGATTATGCATTGAGGGTCGCATTTGGCCCGCCTCGCGGGAAGCCCAGTGCGCCGCCGCCTAGGTTACTCTCAACTGTGTTGTTTCCCTTCGTCACCTCCCTGCACTCTTAGTTATTTATTTCTTTATTTAAAGAGTAAATGATGTTTCCACTGCAATTGAAGCTCAATAACAGTCCTCCGCTCTTTCTGAGTCCTATAAAGCACAAGTTATTGAATCTGAAAAAGCTCTCTCAGCTTCAATGCCCCCATGTGTCCTTTATAGATATGCTTCCACACTTGGCTAAGTTGTTCTTTCACTCCTCGCCAGAGTTTGATCTCTAGGTAAGCCATGCATTTACCCCTACCATCTATTTCTTGCATGCCTTTCTTGTGTTTACTGTCTTACTGAAAATTGTTGTGGATAGTGTTTGTGAATATAAGTATTCTTCTTGTTTTAAGATATAATAACGGTGATATATGAAATTAGGTAAGAACAAGTCACTTCCATCTCCCTGTATGATATTATTAGCTAATAGAGGCGATATTGCATGTAGAATTATTAGAACTGCCAAAAGATTCGGGATTCGAACTGTCTCCGTCTACAGCGATGCCGATAAGTATAATCTGCATGTGAAATCCGCCGACGAGGCCGTCCGCATTGGCCCTCCGCCGGCATGTCTGAGCTACTTGAATGATTCATCCATTATTGAAGCTGCAGCTCGTACTGGATCTCAGGTAGTAAACTAACTTTCTGATCCCGGTTTTTTACTAATAGTAGTACTTTGGTGCAATGCGGCTCCTTTTTACACGCCACATGTTCACTTCTGGTTTCTTTGAATGTTTGTTTGGCCATTGGCATGTACTGAATTGCATAGAAGGTGCTTAATTATTTCCTGAGTACAAGGGAATAAATCCAAAACTGGTTTAGATAATAATAATAATAGTAATGAAAACTTTTGAGGCTATTCACCCAGGCTATGGTTTCTCATTGGAAAGTGCTGATTTTGCTCAACTGTGTGAAGATGAAGGCTTGAATCTTTTATCATAACAGATTCTAGGTTTTAATGTTAACTTATAGAGGCAGAAATCTATGTTTTCAATATGGAAGATTTGGTTACTTGAAGCTGAATTAAAATATGTCAAAACAGTTCCCCTAGATTTTCCTCGCACTACATTTTGCACTGAAGTTAGGTTGGGGCTTAAAGGTCCAACTGAAGTTATTCTAGCTCCAACACTCTGTAAAATGGTAGTTAGCTTATGAGATATTACCCGAAATAGGACTAAAAACGTTTGAAAATTCCAAAATATGACTTCCACGTTTTTATTTCCAAAATAGGACTAATTACTGTCATGTTTTGGTAGTACCAAACTTCAAACATGACAGTATTTTCCAAACTTGGCAGTAATTAGTCCTATTTTGAGAATAAAAACATGACAGTCCTATTTTGGAATTTTCAAACTTTTTTAGTCCTATTTCGGGAACTTTCCCTTAGCTTATACATGCATTCATTAGCCTTAAAATATACAAGAATATGGTGTTATAAATAGATGCGAATTCATTTAATCAATAGTAAAGCTGTAAATCTGTAATATGCTAGGAATTTTATACGGGTGCATACATTGGTGGAAGATTGACAGAAATGCATAAGCTTGCTGATAAATTGCTTTTCGAATCATTCCTTTCATGAAAGCAATGATTTGAAAAGCAATTTATCGGCAAGCCTTATGTTTGTATGTTGGTCTAAAAGAAAGCTCACCGTCCAGTACTCCAGTGTGCCAGAAGAGTTGATTGTTGAGTAGCGTGTGTAAATCGAGGAAGATGAAGTGAACGTCTAAGAGCCTTGGCACTGAGCTACCTACTACCTAGCTGTGAGGATGGGGTGAGAGCACGACCGCACCAGGCCAGTGGAGAGGCACCAGACTGAAAGTATGATTTTATCTCTAACATGTATAGGTTGATTGTACTCAATTTAGGATCAGGATACGGTAAGACCTGAATATTTATGTTTGTGAAATAAAGGCATCTGTGAAATAGAGGTATTTGGATGAGTAATTTGCCCCCAATTATACATTTATACTTGTTGCTGCATCAAGAAGAATTATGGCAGATGATATGTAGAGAAAATATATAGCCTCTTTTCATAAGTTGAACCCTTTTTTACTTATTTGTTTCTTAAAGGTTTCGCCAAATAGACTTCTATTTCTTAGAAACATATATTTTGTGAAAATATTTTTGAAACAAATCATATTGGGCATTTGTTTGATCGCGCAACGCGCGTATTAAAACTAGTTTGTACCCTAAAAATCAGTCTTGCTTGTTATACAAATAACTAATGTCTAAAATGGATGTTATTATAGAAAGAACCCATGTGTAAGCCAAATAGACGAGGTGTGAGTAAATATTATAATACCACTAGAACTGCTGATGACCTTAAAAATAGACTGGATGTGAGTAAACTCAAAAATCAAATGGACAAACACAAATACCAATAGGTGTGTTCACTTGTCATGGCCGTTTAATGAATTTGGAGGCCCTTGTTCCAAATGTAAAATTGGGGCCTCAGTTTAATATAAAATATTAAAAAAACTCAATTTAAATACTTATACTTAAATCAATTGAATACTTATTTAATAATGTAATAATTTTTTTTATCTAAAACTTACTTAATTCTTTATTTAAAGTAACACACCTCATTACTCAAGCAATTTAAGTAAATGAGAACTAAAGGACCAATGAAAATAATGATAGAACTATATTTTTCTTCCTTACTAATTGTATTTTACTGATTATTATTAATATATTAATATATAATACTAATATATTTTTAAAATTTGTGGCCCCATATATCCGGGGCCCTGTTCCGAAGAACCTAACTAACATCCTAATTCCTAAAAAAACGGCCCTGCTTGTCATTATTTGTTTAGTTCTTTTCTGTTATTATTTTTTCCCCATTACAAAAGGTTACAACTTTCAAAAAGTAAAGATAAAGTCTCAACAATATTATATCAACATGTTCATAATTATATCTTTTACCAAAAAGAGGTAGAACAAAATGAAGTCACTTAGGGGTTGGTGTTCGTCAATTCGATTACAGTCAATTTTGGTCGAGTCAATTTTGATCGGTTTTGATTTGGTAGGCTTTTAAACCTTGGGTACCGAAACAACTATGGTATGTTGGGGTGGGAAAAACCGACCCAAAACCCGATATATGATATTGGTCCGGGTTTTATTTTAAAAATGACCGGTCCGGGTTAAAATACCCGAACCCGAAAACTCGGGTCCTAATTCGGGTTCTAAAATTTTAAGCCCGATCCGGACCGAAAAAACCCGATTTAATTAAGAAACTATATATATATATATATATATATATATATATATATATATATATATATATATATATATATATATATATATATATATATATATATATATGATACATACGAACTGTTTTATACTACATCCGTCCCAAATTGATTTGCAAAAATGACTTTTTTAGTCAAACAATTTGATTTTATTCACTTAATTTGGATGTCAATTTTTAATTATATTTAACTTGGAGTTTGCAACTTTGAATATATTTTAATGTAATTCGTTAATATGTAAATTTTAATTATTAAAAATTGAATGATGTATCAATATGGAGTATTTAACTTTAACATTGGTTGACCAAAAAATCTTGACTTTGTAAATCAATTTGGGACGGAGGGAATGTCACTTTGCTTTCGAACCAATTGTTCTTCTACAACATTTTCTATCGTGCGATTTTTATATTCAAAATATCCTGCTTTGATTTTAATATACTACGTAGATTTTTTTATTAAAAGTTTAGATGTTTGCAATTTTTGTTGTTATTGTATTTTAATTGTGTTTAGATATATCAGTTCGATTTTTCTTCGGGTTCAACCCGACCCGAACCCGACCCGAACCCGACCCGAGGTTCTTAAAACCCGGACCAACCCGAAAGTATTGGTCCTCTAATCGGGCCCAAAAATGTAGAACCTGAAGCTTTTCAGTTTTTTTTACGGTCCTAGCAAAAACCTGACCCAATCCCACCCCTAATGGTATGGATAGTGAAGGGCAAAATGGTGGCTTGGCGTTTGGGATGGGGAGACGAGGTGGCAATGGAAGTGACGAGTTCACAAACTAATTTTATAGTCTGTAGGGTATGTTTAAACGCATGTGGATATGTTTGGAATTTGACCTCCTTTTATGGCTTTCCTTAGACCAACTGGCGAAGAGATTCTTGGCGTTTACTGTGAGCGCTTGCGGAGAGGAGTACATTACCTTGGATGATAATTGGCAACTTTAATGACACCATGTATGCTTCTGAGATATTAAAGGCACATGATTGACCGGAGAATCCAGGAGAACAGTACTTAATACTTCCCCAAACAGTAAGTTGACAAGAATGTGGGAAATAACCGGTCAAGTCTATAGGACATGCATTTAATGAAGATGTTTTCTACACTGCGACGTGAACACCTCTATCAGTATAAAAGATACACTTAGAAGGATTGGGCGAAAAAACAAACATTTGAATATCATCTAGCAAATCCTTGAGAGCAAAAATCTACTTGCTCAACACAAGAATTCTTATAAGAGTTTGGAAGAAAATATTTCAAATTCTTCAAAACCATCTCTCAAGTCCGTCCTAGTTCTTCGACCTCTTCGAAAGCTTCATCTATACATCTAATACAAAGTACGTTGGAAAAACCCTTTGAACCTATTCAAAGTTATCTTCTTGTTAAAGGAACAAGTTGTTTCTTGAACTACTATAAACACCTTGGTGTCATTTGCTTACTGTTTTTACTTCCTGCACTTAGGATCTTAACTGTCTCACTCAAAAGAGCTTGGAATATGTGGTCAGCAGATCTTGCTCTTAGGGTTAACAGTAAGGCATTTCTGTTTTAGTGTGGTTTTGTGAGGCAACCCGACCAAAATACCATTCCGCTGCAGGTCTGTTCTGCTAAGAACTAGACCAACTATGTGAGACGGTGTTCTATCTTGCGAGAAATTTATAAATCAGAAAAGTTTACTCACCCCTCCCTCTAGATTGTTTCTCTGTTTAACTGGGACCAACATATTTTGAATCTCAGCAAGTTTTAAGGAGTAACATTAGAAGGAGAGCTGGCAATGGCAGTCATATACAGGTATGGACAAATTTTTTGTTGTCGAGACCAGGTTCCGTTCGGGTGCAATCGGCTAAACCGGTAAGGGTTAAGGATTTGAATGTTGAAGCGTTATGGGATATTATCGGGAAGAAGTAGAATGAAGAACGAGTGACCTCTATCTTCAATAAGGAGGAGGGCACGAAAATTTTGGACATCCCTACAAGCTCATATGATAGGGAGGATAGGTATTAGTGGCTTGAGAAAAAGAATATGCTCTTTTTGACCAGAAGTTTGTATTAGGTGCTTACGGAGTCTAGCCGCTGGGATTTGAAGTGACTGGTCGCAGATGTGGGATCTGAAGGTCAAATACATTGTTTGGCATGTTTTGGACGGCTCTTTTCCATCACTTCAGAATCTATGGAAAAGAGGTGTTCAATTCAAACAGTGTGTAAGCTACGTGGACATGATATGGGGTCAATCGAGCATGCAGTCATGCACTGAGGTCGTGCAGTAATGTTGAGGAAGTGTGGAATACGGCGGGAGGTAACTATGCTTCGATCACAAAGAGTTGTGATGGGATGAAAGCTTCTTTGAAGCGGTTAGACAAAAATGATTGTTGCGAATTCTTGATGCATTTACGGAGTCTTTGGAAGCGTATGAATAAGCATGTTTAGAAGGATACTTGTTAGGGACATCAGCCATTATCAAATGTGCTTCAAACATGCTAAATACCTGGTGGGTTGCGTAGGATTTCACCGTTGGAAGGAAAACATTGGGAGACAGAGGGAGTACAAAGGTGGTGTCGACCAAAGGAGGGGTACATCCGTACATCAAGATAAATGTGATGTATCTTTTAATATTGTGGTGGCATTCGAACCTAGGACTGAGTTGCTGAGAATGATTGAGGGGTTTATCAAAACTACCTGTTGGGATATATTATCCCGACCTATTACTGTTTAGGAGCCCAAGACATTATCCAGTACGGAGCCCGACCAGCTAGGTCCATTTCGGCCCATTCTGGCCCACTTTGGCCATTAGGCCCGACATCGGCCCGTTTGGCCCATTGGGGTGGAGTACTTCCCTCACCCCTTTCCCTATTTATAGGAGGTTTTCCCTCCATGTAAAGGATCTTTTCCTTCTTCCTTTAGCTCTCTAGATTAGATAGAACTCCATTAATGGGAGCTTCAATACTTGTACTATGTAATGGTGAGGAGAGATTAATGAGAATGAGAGGGCTTGGACATTAGCCTAAAAAGTCCCGTGGTTTTCTCCCTTTCGGGTTTCCACGTAAAAACCGAGCTTGTTCATATACATTTATACATATATTTACTATATCGTGTTGGATTAAACTCAACACTGGCGCCGTCTGTGGGAAACTGTCCAAAAAGATTCACGTATTCTACTGTTCTTGAGTCTCTACAAAAAAAATTCATACGTCTGATTCCAGCAAAAAAGAAGAAAAAATTCTGGAAAAATGATTCGGAGGGGTTCTGGATCTGGGAAGAAGGAAAAGTTTGATGCTGGAGGTTTTGGATTTCAGCAACAGGAAGAAGCTACTGATTCGGAAAACCAAATCTGGATTTTTTCCCAGACCTTATTTTAATCTCCGGAGAACGCCGCTTCGCCGCCCGCCTTTAGCGGCCCACCGTATACCGCGTCCTATTTGGTTGGTCTCTGCTCGGGCCGTCACCAGCCACTCCGCCTACGCGGCCTGAGAGGTATTCCTCCTGGGATTCCTTGACTTCCGCCATTAATGGAGGTGGGGAGGTCTGGGAGGATATGTCACAAAGTTCTAGCCGATCTTGCACCGGAGTTTATCCTCTCGAGTCATCCTATGACCACTGCCAGCAAGCGGCCAACCCACGGCCAGCAAGCCGACATGACACCGGTTGTCCTTGGGATGGCGAGTGGCTCTTGCTTCGATCTTTCCAAAAGATACGGAGTGCTGCGTATCACTCAGACGCCCTTGGTCCTCAGTTGGCCACGTGAGTAGAAAGAAGGATGGCAG